ATTTGTAATAAAATGTGAGCAACAAGGCCTCATTTAAATTTCAAATCTCCTCCGTGGGATTCTTCACACAGATAATTTTGAAAGGCTCAGTGGCTACGTCTGTTGGTTACTTTATATTCAGATGAAAGCTTTACCAAAAGCTGACGGAGTTCAGGATACTGTATAAATGAACTCTTGGAAAGCCTAGCTACTGCCGAATTTGAGTAAGAGACTTCTTTTCCATCACTTCTGGGATAATAATATAGAAATATAGAACAGCCCAATGTTGCATTGCTTCTAGCCCTTGGTTTTGTAAGGCAGAAGAGATTCCTGAGTTCAATAAAATAGCAACATTGATTTACTGGCCTCACTAATGACACACTATACACTATTGTAGAGTAAATGAAGAACATATACTGGTGCAAATAGTCTTTGCTGTTTAAGTGAAGCCAGTTCCCAGAGGCCCATGCCGGACCATATATAGTTTCTAGGATATCAGCACTTACAGCACATGCCAGAGACTCCAGACGAACAGTCTGGGACGCTGTGCATGTAAATATTTCATTACTGCAAATATGATGACATAGTTTTAAGTTGGCTGCAGTCATCATTACAGAGCCAGAAGCTACGTTAACTCAGGTACACTATTGGTAGTGCTAATTTCCACACTTTTTAAAATACACACACATTCAGGTCTTCCTGTTGCTTACATCCTTTAAGTGATGCATCTTATAGGGGTTCAAAAACTGATTGTATTGGTGTAGTTAAGGCTGGTTGTAACACCCTGCTGCTAGCATTGTATTCAATGTGCACATATGGGTCTGTTTAGATTCACACAATATTAACCTTGGATTCACACAATTTTTTTAAAACTGAATCCAATAAATTTGCGATTATTGCGTGAAAGATGTGAGAATTCTATGTGAAAACATTTATAAATAGACATCATAGAGTTGTATATGAGCTCTGCAGTTGTGGAACGTATGACCCTGTTGCTCAATAGTTACATCTAGCTATTCATGAGTCTATGCTAGAGAAACTCAGCTGTTGGTACTATGCACTATTTATTGTCTGGCCTTAGTCACCAGTGCCAGACATGATGGATGGACTGTATATTGTAAGAGAGTGACTCCTTTCTTGTGACTTCAGATGAAAAAGAGGTTGATGAATATATCTTTTAAACACACAAATCAGTCTTGCACAGCAGTGAGCGTGCAGAGTGATCACTTCAAGTTTTGCCTTTTCTCCCTTCTGCCTGCTTTTTAATAACTTTACTGCAAGTAAAACAAGGTTGGTGCTTATGGAGTGGCTGCCAGCATTACGTCAGCGTACCAATTCCCTGCAGAGTGCCAGGGAGAGCAACCTGCATGAAAGCCGCCTTTGTTCCAGGGAGGTGTGCTAGCTTTACATGAGGCTGCTCTCTGGACGTCTGTTTGTGAAACAATTTATTGGAACATGGTATGTGTGTGTAAGACGCTCCCAGAGACTGAATGCATTCAGAACTTTTAACACCTTCCTCTCAGAAAAGGTTGGAAGGCCATTAGTGATCATACACTTAATATTAAGAATAATAGGAAAAACTAAAATGCTAATTTTTAAGGAAAAGAGAAAGCTAAAGGGCACACAAGTAAATAAAACAAGGATAGTTTTTTTTTTTATAACTACAGAAACATTTAGCTAATCAGGTGTTAACTTTCTCTTATCTGTACTGGGGAAAAAAATCAAACCTAATATCGCTTGGCTTTTTTATTTGTTTCAGCTGTGTGGTTAAAAAAAAGTGAAAAAAAGTTTAATATTCTATAATAACCAGTCTAGTTTCTGATTGGTTGAGGCTGTTTATTGTTCATTTTGTTACCACATTTAAATTAACTCCCACAATATCTGTTAAGATATAAATTCTTGCAAATATAAATAAGGGTCAGATTTGAATGTTTTAACAGTGCAAACATTGAAAAAGGGCATATGAAAATCAAGTTAATCTTGGAAGACAGCCATTGTAGTTGGGGCAACCTGATTTAAACTCTGCCTGCTGGGTATGTCCTAAGAGTAATAGAATAGCTGACTGAAAAAATTAAGCACTTCATAAGTTGTGCTACAATGTAATGGGCAATGATATCAATCCAGCAAAGGCTGGTTTATCAGATGAATTTGGCAAGAGGCTGTAGAAAACTTTGCAAAGCTTGGCATCTTATCAACTTTGAACTTTCCTGTCCACAAGTTTTTAAATATTGGCCTGACTGCGAATGCATAGTAAGTTGAACCATTCTGTAGTTCTTTAGATGATTCTAAATGTGATTGAATAGTATTTACCCTTTCTGTCCTTTTTATATTAGGGCAAAATAGGTTCTAGAAGCACAGGGGTTAAATAGAGCATTCCCGCTTACAGGTGACCCACAAATGTTGGCATCCAGATATAGCTAGAGATGACGACTGGAATCCATGCTCCCTTAGTTTTTTTTTTTTTTTTTTTTTTGGTGGCCTGTATAAACTAGCATGTCTTCTATTGTCCTCCTCCTGGCGGTATCTTTTGAAGCTTGAGATTTTTCCCTCCTCCCTCCCCATTACTTACAAATACACATCTCCCTCCCTTCTAGCTTGGCACTAACTTTGCTGCAGGGATCAGTGCCAGGAGCTTAACGGGTTTACAGACTTGAGTTATTTTTTCCCCCCCTCCTTGCTCCTTGGCGTCTCTTCCCTTATTTATTTTATAACATGTATAACTCAGAATATATACGATTGTGGAGCGAATGTGTGACCTTTACTAAACCTAAATGCAGTCCGTTAAAATCATTGCAAGAAGGTGTTACAAAACTGTCTGGATCATATGTATAGTGCTAAACAGAAAAGCTGTATTCTAATGTTGTTCCAGTGGTTATGAAATTGGGGAACTAACTGTAACAAAGATGGAACTGCTACTTTTAGCAACAATCAGGTTTTTTGGATGCAACATGGAATTTGGTGGCTATGGGTACCAGCCCAGATGTTCTGAATAATTTTCTAGGGCTAAGCAATAGACAGTCCCATGTTTCATAGTGGCCTCCTCATACAGAAGACTGCTGTTTTGTACACTATGATGTTAGAATTCCTTTTTTTTGGGGATTTTAGTTTTTTTAAATACTACAGCTTATAGCCTTGGACAGCAAGTCTCAGGCGTTTGAATGCGATTTAGATGTGAATGTATAGTCTGTGAAGCACTCCTGGATTTGCAGTTGTCAGCTATGTTTTTTATAGTATGCTTGAGCTGCTAATAACTGTTTCTGCTTTATTGTGATACAGGGCATTTGAATCTCAATCTTTCCACAATTAGGGTTTTTTGGCCATTCTGTATATATTTTAGTAGTTAAAGCCAACCAATAATATTTATTTTTGCTTTCTCTAATGTCAATAAGTTAATTTAACACTTTTTTTTATTTAAAAGATTTATTCTGACATATTTAAAGTAGGATTCAATTCCTGTTCTACCTACCAAAAGGGTGTTTTTTTTTTTTTGCTTTCATTCTCTTTATAGTCTTAAGATTTACACTGCCCTACAGATTGCACAGTCAGGTTGGTGACCTAAATTGTTCCTGCTGCAGTTTAAGCAATACAGCCAGGTTCTTCTCTGCCCCAGCCTGTGATTTGATAGTGGAGGAGCAGCAGCACACTGTTGAAGTCATCCCTCAACTCACTCTACATTCTTTTCCTTATTGGTCACCAGTGTCTATTCTTTTCTTAGTATAAGTGTTGCAGTATGAGAGGAGGCTGATATCAGTTCAAATGTGGTCACTTACACTAGTTGCAATTAAAAATACATTTAAAGATTTTTTTTTTTTTAAATGTAGTGTAGCTTTAAAAGCTCTCTGGAAATGTAAGTGTAATATTGTAAATTACTCTTATTTCTGCTCCTTCAGCTGCTATATATCAAGAGTGCTTTCTTACCTGGTACATTGTTTGAACTACAGTAGTCCTCCCAGAAGTCTGTAGGTTGGGTGGAAGTATGCCACAAGTGTGTGGCAGTGAGAGTCAGTGCTTCTGGAGTTTTTTGGCATTGTTTTTCCCCTTCAAAAACTGTAATATTACTTTCACCCTAGATCCCTATTATCTTACAGAATTTGCTATTAGTTATTACAATATCTTGTATACAGTGTCAACACGTTTGTGTTCCAGCTTGGTATCTAATTTCAGTTACCTACATATTTTAAACTGATTTATGAATGTAATTACATTTATTAAAGGAAATGTAAAATCTTTTTTATGTTTTTAGATAAACAAGCAATAAAGGGATCTGCTTGAAGTAAATAATTTTAACAATGTGTGTTAATGCTTTAATAACTCCTTCTATGTATAGTTTACAATATACACTGGCTATGTTTCCTGCTTTGCTATGCAGTGATAGTGCTTTACTGCTCCTGCACACAATGCATATATGTGTTAATGTGTTGTTTTAAAAAATGACCTCCCTGTGTGGCTATTAATTAGTCAAGAGATGTTAAGCAAGAGATGAAGTAGCACTGAGTCACTTAGAGTCCCTGGTGGTTAATCTTCAGATATTTTTAATGCAGTAGCAAAAATATAGATGAGCAAGCTTTCAAAGTGTCAACCCAGCCATGCATGGATGGAAATACGGCCAGTTCAGCAGGGACCAGACAAATTATGGTCCATGTATGGGAAAGCTGATTGCATTCTGTCGAATGGTTGATCGACTTTGGTACAAAGCAGCCTGCCAGATTTCTTTTCTAGATGCGGTTACTGCCAGCATCTAAAGCCGCTGGCAGTAATCGCGTTCTGCTGGATGGGAAGGCTCCCCGTGCCCTCCTGCCAACAGAACACAATAGGGATGCGGGAGACATTCCCCCATTTACACTAACTGTGTTGATGGGGGAATCGAGTGATTATCTTTTGAATCATCTATACGCTGCCTAAGTCATATGAAAATGTCACTTTAAAATATAAATTGCACTGTCAAAATATGTGCTCACTGACAGTATGTTATAATTTGCCTTTAGTGATTTATAAACTGTGCTTCTCTGTTCTACCACTAGAGCGCTCCTCTCACAGACCCATACTGCAAGCTGGGCTCCCTGCGAATACCACTGCGTATGTTGGAGGTGATGCTGAATTTGTATGCAAGGTGTATAGTGACGCACAACCCCACATTCGCTGGGTGCGATATGTAGAGAAGAATGGGAGCCGATACGGGGTGGATGGGATCCCATACATGAAGGTTTTGAAGGTAAGAATTGCTGGATAAGTTAAAGTATGTCTACAGGGGCAGTGGTTTGTAATACCCTAGTACAAAGTGCCTGAGATACCCTAAACCAGTCGACACTGGAAAATAACATCTGTAATATGAACCTCTGAAGCTGATTAGCTGCTCTGAGTAACATACACAGCCCTTATTACAATTCCTTGCCATAAGGGTTTGTAGAACTGTGTCTTGATTATGACCGATAATATTATAACAAAAGATTATTACATTTTACATTCGGTTTTACAAAAACGACTACCCAAATGCAACATAAAGCTACAAGGCTGTAACTGATGTTTTTTCTATTTGTATTCTCATTTTTTTCTCTCCTGTTGAAGAACAGAAAAGTGGCTCATCAAAAGGCGTACCCTAATTAGGCAGCTTTGTAGTCCTTCTAGACATTTCTCACTGTGCAAGAGAAACGATCCTAGAAATGACACCTTAAAACATTAGGGTTGACCTGGTTGGCAGAAAGAAGATGCTACTTCGAAGGCAATTAGACACTGCACTTTGTAAGTGCAGAAGTTGCACCAGAGCTTAATAAATGAGGTAAAGTCTCACTTTACAAAAATACATAATCACATACAAGGAAAAAATGCATTTTTGGTTGCACATGGTTGAATGATAGCAGTAGGCAGAGCTTGGGGCCTTCTCATTTACTAAGGTCTGGAGCAGTTGCACCTGCAGAGAGCACAGTCTATTTGCCTTTAGTAAATCAAACCCTGTTGATGGTCTTGTCTAGAACTCCCACCAATCTGAGAGTTTCTAACTGGAGGCCTTTGCCACCTGAGAATGGAGTTTACGTTTAAAAGCTTGGGGGGTGAATAAAAACTGATAATGCTTGTGAGCTGACATTTTTTACTTAGATGCTTCCATGGTCACTGGCTTAGCTTCATGCTTTTTCAACTTAATGCTTCACAGTTGGTTTAAGTGGCTAATAGTGGGGGTTGAATAATGACCAGTAGTAAAGCTGAGAAGTGGGGGAGCCAGTGCTAATCACAGAACCTAGATGCTGTGCTTCTATTAGAGAATGAACCACTTTGTTTTCTGGAGCAACCAGGCACTTCAAAAATACATAATCACAACTGAAGCACATGGTTTGTCAGGCCATTTTGGGGTATTAGCTGCACAGTTTATATTTCTGTTGGTGGCCATAGGTTTGCATTGGAGTTTTTTTTAAAACATGCCAAGTATGCTCAACAAATTATTCTGAGTGCCGTTTATATTTTTTTTTTAAAAAAATCTGCTAATTATTTTTCAGATTAGCGGCCCTGGCAGGATCAAATATTGAAGAGAGAGATTTCAATGCATCATATTATTATTATTATTATTATTATTATTATTACTTCGAGTTTATATAGCGCCAAAGGGTTTGCTCAGCGCTGTACAATAGAGGGGGGGACAATACTTGGCACAGTACAACAACAACAAACAATGTACAAGGGGTAAGAGGGCCCTACTCTTTCGAGCTTACAATCTAGGAGGGAAATTAAGAAATGTAAACAGATGTCATTCGAATCCTTAGAAAAGTTTTTGTTTAGATGAAAAATTTCTAATGTCCTTTTTCTTCACAAATGCTTCATTTGCAACATAATGCTTTCAGTGTGTTGTAAATGAGGCATTTGTCAACAAGAAAGTAATCTCCTACTACTAACTGATTTATTATTGACATACTTCCGAGTAAATGTATGGAATTCTTTTCCAATTTTTAAAACCACATTCCAAAGTTTAAAATTTAGCATTATTTCCAAAAGTTCTGGATTGCTGAGTTTGGCAGCACATAAATGCTTAGATTCTGATAAGTTAGATTGTTTTGACAGCAGCTAGCTTCATTTCAATTACTGCGTGTCTAAAATAGCCACCAGCTGATGTCCTTATCAAGTCCAAGTCAATCTTGGCCCAGAAAGTATGGACACATAATGCCAGACTCACCACCAATTTGACCCTCTCCACATGGTACAAAATATCCTTCTGATTACTTTTCCACTATTTTGATTGCAATAACCTATCGTTAGCATAGTTAAATGTCAAGTGATGTTGGTCAAAAACGTTTCAGTAGCAGAGTGTCTTGTACCTTATGAAGGGGGTCATATTGGAGGGGTCTGTAAAACTCACATGCTGCAGTCATTGTTGACTGGATAATAATTAAAACCATACAAGGACAAATGATGTAAACCAATCATTTTGTGGTTTTGGTATGTTTGTCTGTTCAGTAAAAGGTCACTTTGATGGGTTGCTAAGTTTTCCACATTGCTCAAATTTGCAAAATAGGCCTAGTTTAAGTTGTAGTTTTGAGCCATATTCTCCTAGATCACAGCTCTGTATGTTAATCCCATATGTTGCCTGCCTGTTTTTAGCACTCGGGAATAAACAGTTCCAGTGCTGAGGTGCTGAATCTGTACAATGTGACAGAAGCAGACGCGGGGGAATATGTCTGTACCGCCTCCAATTACATTGGAGAGGCCAACAAGTCAGCCTGGCTCACGGTGGTGAAAAGAGAACCAGGTAACGTCTCCTCCTGCCGTGCACGGGAAGCAGATGGGCTCTTGGTGCTTCTGGCGAAGGTGGCGTTGGAAAACAATCTGGGTTTGGTGTTTTGCCGCACTTTGGCGCGGCCATGGAAAAATGCACACAAAGCTTGAGGATTTCACTGATGTCCTTTCCCCTTCTGTATTTCTACGCATGTTTTGGTTATACACTTCCATTGGCTCTTGCTATCAACAACTTGTACTGAAGCTTTAAGTATGTTTTACTGAATGGAACCTGATCAGTTGTGGTCAAAATAAACTGACTATTTGCAGCAGTTGAATGTTGTTTAAAACAGCACATGTCAAGGAATACATCGTGTGACTCTAATCAACTGCTTTTTTGGCTGGTTGGACCCCTCTTTCTCAAACATGCTTTTAAGTGAAATTTATCTGACTTACCCATGCTATCTGCCCTAGACCAATTGGTTTTATTTAAGTCACCTACATTTATTACAGATGCCCATTGTGGAGGCTGCAAAATGATTCTGGCTTCAGAAGGAAGTCGGGTACAAAGTGATTTTACCATATTGGTCTAAAAATTTCCTTGTAAAATAATATGCTGTAGTTATATAATGGCTTTCACCACTGCAGGCAGGAAAGGTATATGTGATTGTCAGCCATCTGCTGAGGACTGCCTCTGAGTAAAGCCACTAAATCATTGGCCATATGCTAATGTAGTCCCCTTCTATTTGTGTGGTATACCCCGCCCCTCTTTTATAGAGTATACCATAATGTGAAATCCTCATTTGTGAGTATTGTTTTTCCATGTCATATGATTGCATGCATTAATGGTGATAAATCCTGGTGAAGGGTCATGTTCATTAATCTGCACCCTGCATTTCAAAATGTTTTTCTTGGTGAATCTTTGGTATGTTGGGTCTTTGGAGAAGGTCTCAGTGGAATGCAGGGGAGATCCTCAGAGGTTTGTATGGCTCTTCATGCACATGCCATCTCCTGAACCTGCTCCACATGTATCCTTTTCTCATTGGGTGTTGCTTTTTTCTCTTTTTCTTTTTTGCCTTCCCTCTCTTCCAGGCTGCCGGTGTTAACATTACAGATGAAGAGATAGAAGTCTTATATGTCAAAAATGTTTCTTTTGAGGATGCTGGGGAATATACTTGTATAGCTGGAAATTCCATTGGGATTTCTCAACATTCTGCCTGGTTGACGGTTCTGCCAGGTATTATGCTACTGCCTTGGGTTTCCCTCTGTCTGTGCTATTGCAGGGTCAACTGTAAACACTGTGCTTCTATCTCATTGCCTCAAAGTCATTAGCAGCCATTCTTTTCCATATATAGTTTTTTTATACTAATAAAAGCAAATGTATGCACACAATCTTCAAGCATAATTTGATTATTCAATATTTCAAGTGTTGAGATGTATCAACATTCTATGTCTTTATAACACCACATTTTTAGGCGTTATGTGGAACTTTTAAATAAATTAGGTGAAACAGTAGATTAAAAAGTTACTTTATTGAAGAATGCAATCAACTTCCCATCTTCCAGAGTCCTTTGTGTGCCTAGAAGTTATGTAGGATTGTTAGATATCATAAAATTTCAACTAAATCCTTAAGTTAAAAAGTACAATTTATTTATAAATAGGCTAAAAAGTTATTCTATAGTAATCCATAAATTAGTTTTTTTATTTGAGATTTTATGTGATCTAAAAAAAAGTCCTGTGTCTAAAGTCCCACATCTTTTGTCTCTAAAAATTCTTTTATTGTGGTATGCATAACAAACACTGTAAGATGCAATGTTGATTGGTTGCTGGAGAATCCTAATTCATTTTAACATCTTGCTACCCAGTGATCAGCATCACCTATCAAAATAAAAATAAAATAGCTAACAATCCCATGATCCTTGTGTCAACAGTGTCACGTTTACCCTTGCATTTACTTTCATGGTTCCCTGATTGCATAGCATGATCTTTGTGCAATCTGGGCAAGATGTTTTACCTCCATTTTGATTTAACCCCTGATGCTCCTGAAAAGAAAAAAAAAAACATGGTAAAGGGTTTAAATCATAAAGGAAGAAAACATTACTCTTTATATATATATAGAACTCCTCTATCTTCTTTAGTCTGTCCAATCTCTTTTGACTTTTCAATCGTTTTTTTCTTTCTTTTTCTGCTGCTATAATAATTTGGGGGACAGACAGCTACCTACAGTAGAAAGGTAATACTTTCCCTCTTTTTAGAGGGTAGGCAGTAAACACTGTTCAGCTATTTTAGAGCCATGTTTGTTGTATGCATATGTGTGAGAGTTTTATGGCATGTTTTTATATTGAGTGATATGTGTGTTTTTATGTTTTAAACATTCCATCCAAAAATTAAACTTCATTGACAGATGGAGGGTGTCTGGTGACTTTTATCTCCTGGGGTTTTGTCTCAATCTTGGAATTTTTGATGATTCTGCTCACCTTCGACTATTCCCATAATTACAATTTCCAAATTAAAGTACATTTAAAACCATCAGAGAAAGTGGGAACTGCTCATTGAGGCCATTATATGATGTTCAACCAGAAAACTCAAGGGCAGGAATCTTGCCTCTGGTGTTATAAAGATCTATTAGAACTCCGTTAAGTGGTTCAGCTTTGTAGCATCCACCAAATACTAACCTAAAGCGGAGTTCCAGCTGAAAAAAAGTCAGCTGCTACAAAAACTGTAGCTGCTGACTTTTACAATACAGACACTTACCTGTCCCTCGGTCCAGCGATGTCTTCACCACCACTGGTTTCACCGTCCGTCTTCTCTCCCTGGCATCGGCATCTTCAGCGTGGGCACCCCGGCTGTGACAGCTTGCAGCTTCCCAGCCAGGTGCCTACTGCTCATGTATGAGAAGAACTGCGCTTTGTGAATGGCCCTATAGTTTTCTGGGACCTGTCGTGTGCCAGAAGGGGAGGGGGGGGGGGGGGGGGGGGGAGGACAACTTCCACTTCCGATCATCTAGGCGATCGCAGTGGGAGCGGGTACCTGTCAAATTCGGGTACCCACTCCCCAAAGGTGCCAATCCTTAATGGGGAGTGGGGACATAGCATTAAAGAGGAACTTCCCCTTTTGGGTGGAACTCCACTTTAATAATTTTGGGTGGATTAGCCCTTTAATTGTGTAAAATTATTTTAAATATTATATAGTTTTATGTTATCCTGTCATCCTAAATATACATTTAAAAATATTTCCAGTTTTAATTTAACACTATATTAGATATAGATTTAACCTTACAATTATAGGACAACTACTTGTGTAAACATGTAAAACATTTCATTTTCAGTTTAGCTGAATGATCATTTTACTCACCTTCATCGCACATACCAGTTAAGTTGCTGGAGTCATTCTATACCTAAACTGTAGGCTGATGTCAAATCAGGTCAGTGTGGCGGTGAGTCACTACCGTGTGCTGCCCACTCTTGGGTATCATCATCACCTGCCAGTACTAGCAATGCATGATTGCACTGTGTTCACATACAGCCATCGCTCAATGTCTTGGTTCCAGGATGCAGAGGTCAGGTGTTCAAGATGTGTGTGCAGAACTATCAGTCCGCAAAGTCATTAAGTGCAGGGAGTAGAATGTAGAAAAACTGTTAGATACAAGTGCCTACAACAAGATAAAAGGTCTAGGCTGCTGTCTGGTAGTTATGCCCTGTACACACTATTAGAATATCGGATGAAAATAAAACTCTTTCAGAGGGATCATATGATAATCTGTTAATACACAGCTTTTGAGAGCCAATCACAACAGTTCATGTGCCAATGTTCGGAGGGACAAGCATGAAAAATTCTTGTACAACAACAGAGTGAACGATTTTCGTTTTTTTTTTTTTTTTTTAACAAATACAGTATTAATCTGAAAAAAAAATTCAGAGGCCAAGACCGCACATGCTCAGAAACAAAATAATACATTACTATACAATACAGCGCATTACATCACTTCCGAAATTGTATTCTGTCATACAAGAATTTCAGAACTTTAGTAACCTCTTCATTTTTGATATGACACTAGCATGCAAAAAAAAAAAAAAAAAAGGATGATCAATAATCCGATATTCTCATTGTGCACACGGGACATTAGGCAAGGTCTGCATACTTATCATGCATGCACTCCTTTAGGTGGGTTTCCAAATTGTAGCAAGCTGTTAATTTCTTTTATCGATGACAATAGGTTGTCTGTTTTTGCAGAACAGTTGGTGTATAAAGAACTAATACAAATACGCAATCACTCTGTACCAACTGCAAAGACTTTTTTTTTCTATTCGGGCTTGTGACAGCTTGCTGTTCCATAGTAAAATTCATAGCTTTTTCATGCACAGTAACAAAAAATGTGTGTTAAAACAAGCTCAACCCTGTTATGGTTTCAGATTCAGAGAATAATGCTTTTTATGCTTAGACAAATCTTTTTTCATACCTTACTGCAGGGTGAAGGTCTCCTCCACCTATCTACCCTAGTCTGCTAATAAACACAGTAATATTCATGTATGGTCGCTTGCATCCTTAAAGTGTATGTAAAGACAAAATGTTTCTTTAGTTTTGTAAATAGAGCAGAAGGGTTAAAATTCCTGCCATGTTTTTATTGCTGTCTGTGTCTCCCTGGGGAGATTCTTCCTCCCTATTGGTCCTGTTGACCATTGTTTCTGGTACAGAAAGTGATGAGAATCTAACTTTTTTGAATTGTCACAGGAACAAGAAGTGAAGTGAAATCTTTTAAAGGATAAGTTCACCTTTTAGTAAAAAAATAATAAACGTAGATCGCTGGTGCTATGCAGGTTTCCTATAGATCTGTCAATATATCTGCTTGCCCATATGGGATGTACGTGCAAGCAGATATACTGGCAGGAAGAATGAATGAACTAACCCAGCGCTCCACAGCGCCATGGTACTTCATTGTGGAGTACAAGTCGACAGACGCTAAGGCTGTCAGGACTTCTAGTCTCTCATTCACAGAACACTGTGAATGAGTGACAGGTCTGGGTGGGCTGAGCCCACATGGCAGCTAGCGAAGGGGGAGCCGGTCGTTTTGTAACAGTATAACGTTAATGGTAACAGTATAACTTTGCTACCAGTTATGATGGTGGAAAGGGTAGAAATTGATGCCTTAAAATCCAGTGCCATGGTTGTAAAACATAATAAGTCATGTCAAATTGTTAGGTTACAACATCTTGCAGCCCATAATGGCAATACCAGACTACTCATATAAAATGAACAGATTAAAATATAGGATATCCATATTCAGGATTCAGTAATCCAAGCAGTGTATGTATGTTTAGTGGTAGACTAGAATCATGCTGAGGCTTGCTTACTGTGTGTGTGTTTTCTTGTGTAGATGTGTATGGATGTGGAATTTCTGTGCTGTAGTATAGGATTTTGAATCCTTCCTCTGACTCCTACACTGTTATCATTTAGTCACAGCTCACGTTTCTCCTCCACATCATTTTCAGGTACAGAAACACCTATGGAGGATACCTCACTACCTTACTACATGGAAATAGCTATATATGTTGGTGGAGGCTTCCTTATTTTCTGTTTTATTGGAATTTGCATCATATTCCAACTTCGTCAGGGGGCTAAAAAGAAGAAATCGTTAATAGGACCGCCCGTCGTCCATAAACTCAGCAAACGAATACCACTCCACCGCCAGGTAACAGAAAGTAGATAAAGAGTTCGAAAAACCTTTTTTCTCGTTGTCTGTCAGCTGCCGTGTGCAGATAGTTATTATATAAGGGGCATAAAGTATAAAAGCATCTTGTGCCATTGGATTAATGCTATGGACCAATGATATATGTATTGTGTTACATACTGTAAAGTTACTTCAGTTGTTTTCCTCCTAGTTATAGATCTTAGGTTTATATCAGCATAAAATTTTTCTAGGAGGTCCCTCTCGATTAAGAGGTTCCTATAAAAGACAGTAGCCCAAGACATTTCAGAGATATTTTGGCATGTATGTGTGTTGCTTACATCAGACAATGTAGGCATTAGTATCTCTATAGAGTGTGACAGATCTGTATGTGTCTAGTGGTCAGGTGTTGACCTAAGTTGGAAGAAATAATATAGCGTTTTTCATCATTGCGTCTGGTGATCAGTTGATCTAGGAGGTAAAATCTCCTTAGTATGCAATTTCATACAACCGATTTTTTTGCATTCCTTATCAAATGTGACCACAGGAACATTTCATTTAAGCAATCAGTCATGCTTTTTGGAAACCGATCCAGTTCAGTTCTGAATATTGGTAGTTGGAAGATGAAAGTTTTAAACTGTTTGCCATTAAGCAAAGTGGACTGTCCCGAAATATATTTCATCTGTATCGTTTTATTAGTACTCAAGTCATAGGTCTTAAACTGGTCAGATGTCTCTCCAAGAACACAAAGTGGGAAGACATGAGGCCATCTTCTACAGATCTGGGACCTTCTGCTATACTCCAGAATACAAAAAAATGCACGTAGATTTAGCTCCTCCAGTGACTCTCCTCATTGAGCAGGCCAGGTAAACCGTTTGGAAAATCTTGGTGAGCGGTTATAAATACTTGCAGTAATCAGTAATACATGTGTATGATGGTGAAAAACCTCATCATCGCCCCTTTGGATAGGCTTAAAAAGCGTGATCCTCACGCAGGTGTCAGATCTGTTGATCTGGAATGTTAATCAAGTGTTATGGAAGTTTAGAATTTTTAAGGTTTGAAGTTCCCCTTTCATAATTCATTGACATTCATAATGTTAATATGGAACAATAGAGAAGTGTTTTCTATCATAAATTGCGCTAATCTGTTACCCTGGCTTAATGGCATAATGTTTCACTTCTACTACAATGCTGTCTAGTCTGTGACCTGAGTCATTCTTCATGTGTATACCTGCACGATTCTGTTTTGGCCTCATGTATCAGATTTTTCATTGTAATGCTGTTTTTCTTTTTCAAAGGGCAGCAGCAACAGGTAACATAATTCTGTTTTGAGATGCCTCATTGCATTTGCCCAGTTTATACAGTGGGATAGCTTACCCTGTAGCTGAAGGTTTTATATAATAATTAACAAATATAGATACAAAAAAGACTGTAGAACTCAACAAAATTAAATGCTATATAACAAAAACATACAATCTTATTTACGAGAACATTGCAATAAAACAATATATTATCATTTATAAATACAATCAGAAATTGGCATTTAACATTTTACTGTAGTTGTACCAATGAAAGCTGAGCTCTGATTTGCTAATGTGACTGTACCATTGAAGGGAAACTATAGCCTGGATTTGGGTGTTGCATAGGGGTCAGTCTAATGACTTAAAGTGGACAGGCAAAATTATTAATTTGTTTTTCTTTAAAATACTCTTAGTTAAATGGTCATACTTACACATTTTATTAGCTTTTTATGACTGGTAAAAAAAACTGTAATTTATTACATACCCTTTCCCATGAGAGAGTAATTGGACATCAATCTAGTTTGCACATGGTGAGCTGACTGTTGGGCTTTTCTTAATGCTGTTACCATTGGGCACCTTTCACATCACCTTTTCCTCTTGCAGGTGTCAGCGGATTCCAGTTCCTCTATGAACTCCACAACACCTTTGGTGAGGATTACAACACGTCTGCTGTCCAGCGCTGATACAGTCCTGCTGCCCAATGTATCAGAGTACGAACTTCCTCATGACCCCAAGTGGGAATTCCCAAGAGACAAGTACGTAATTTTACTACTTTCTCCCAATATGTCATTGTTCTGCCAATGCTGGAGGAATTCAATGTATTTATTAGTTGTATAACTGGGGCTTGACCACTCTGGAGATCACACCAGGTACACTATATTGCTAAAAGTATTGGGACACCCCTCCAAATCATTGGATTCAGGTGTTCCGATCACCTCCATGGCCACAGATGTATAAAATCAAGCACTTAGGCATGCAGACTGCTTCTGCAAACATTTTGTGAAAGAATGGGTCGCTCTCAGGTGCTCAGTGAATTCAAGCGTGGTACCGTGATAGTTGCCCCCTGTGCAATAAGTCCATCCATGAAATTTCCTTGCTACCAAATATTCCAGGATCAACTGTTAGTGGCTGAGTTTCTTTTGTTCCCAGTTGCTTCTACTTTGTTATGATACCACTAAGTGGTAGGCCACGTAAAATGACAGAGCGAGGTCAGCGCATGTGAAGTGCACAGTGCGCAGAAGTCGCTAATTGTCTACAGTGTCAATATCTAAAGACCTCCAAACTTTATGCGGCCTTCAGATTAGTACAACGACAGTGTAGAAAGCTTCATGGAATGGGTTTCCATGGCAGAACAGCTGCATCCAAGCCTTACATCACCAAGTGTAATGCAAAGCGTCGGATGCAGTGGTGTAAAGCACGCTGCCTCTGGACTCTAGAGCAGTGGAGACATGTTCTCTGGAGTGACGAATTACGCTTCTCTGTCTGGCAATCCAATGGACATATCTGGATTTGGCGGTTGCCAAGAGAACGGTACTTGCCTGACTGCATTGTGCCAAGTGTAAAGTTTGGTGGAGGGGGATTTTGGTGTGTGGTTGTTTTTCAGGAGTTGGGCTTGGCCCCTTCGTTCCAGTGAAGGGAACTCTTAAGGTGTCAGCATACCAAGACATTCTGGACAATTTTATGCTCCCAACTTTGTGGGAACAGTTTGGGGATGGTCCCTTCCTGTTCAACATGACTGCACACCAGTGCACAAAGCAAGGTCCATAAAGACATGTATGAGTGAGTTTGGGGTGAAGGAACTTGACTGGCCTGCACAGAGTCCTGACTTTAACCCGATAGAACACCTTTGGGATGAATTAGAGCAGAGACTGCGAGCCAAGCTTTTTCGTCCAACATCGTTCCTGACCTCACAAATGCGCTTCTGGAAGATTGGTCAAACATTCCCATAGGCACACTCCTAAACTTTGTGGACAGCCTGCCCAGAAGAGTTGAAGCTGATATAGCTGCAAGGGGTGGGCCAACTCAATATTGAACCCTACGGACTAAGACTGGGATGCCATTAAAGTTCATGTGCATGTAAGCGCAGGTGTCCCAATACATTTGGCAATATAGTGTATATTCAGTCTTTTGGGTTGTAGGCTGTTTTTGTCCATTTTATATATGTTTACTACCAGTGATTTTAACTGCAGTGTAATTTTTATCTGAGCTACAGACATTGTATAAAAGGGCTGTGCCATGTGAGGACCACACTGCAGGTATGATGAGACCTAAATACAGATATTTGTTATGGGGGTCTCTGGCACATAGATATTTTCATTCTAATGTACATTTAGATAGTTAGACATATGTTGTAGGTATTCATTTCTGGTGATGGTTAACTAATTGTATTTGAAGGCGCCAGTAACCAAACATGACATCACGTTTCTGGTACATTCTTTTGCCTGGTACAGGGCTAATGTGTATTTCAGATATTATGAAAAATGGTATACTATGCAGCCCTCACACATGTAGGAAGAAAGGCATAATATGCAATAAATACTCAAATAGCCTTCCTGTATGTGAAAAAATTACTGCATTTACTGTTAAAGTAATGTTTTCAAGATGTCCTATGTGAAATATAGGGGCTACTATTACTGACATCCTTCTGAAAATGCCAATTGCCTAGCTATTATGCTGTCCTGCTTGTTTTAGCTTTTTCTAAATCAATGAGCTGAACAAGATGCACAAAAGAAAAGTAAAAATAAAACAAATGTACAAGTGTTGTATAGAAGTTGCTATCAGTGTCTAGAAAATTGACAGTTGATTGGTGGCTCTGGGTACACCTAACACAGTCAGTCCCCTTTGGCAATCCTTGTTTATGTTATTGTACATATTTTCCCCTATCTGTATTTTAATTAGCATATTGATGGCAGCTGCAGCCCCTTTCCCATACAGCTTCTGTTTATTGAATGTTAATATGTGAGTATTTCCGCAGGCTGACACTGGGAAAACCTCTGGGCGAGGGTTGTTTTGGCCAAGTTGTCATGGCAGAGGCTGTAGGGATTGATAAAGACCGGCCTAAGGAGTCAGTAACTGTTGCTGTAAAGATGCTAAAAGGTAAGCAAGGAGGGGTTGTGGGTGTTTTCTCCCTTCTCTGTGGGGGGACACAGGGTCACATTCCTGACCTTGAAGTTAAATCAGAAGCTCTGACAGTTTTGCTGCCTCTCTCTATGATTTAAAGACTGCAGCTATGGAAAGAAGTGTAATTTACTGATTTGTGTCCTTTGAATTATGCAATCCTTTCGCCACCATCCCTGTGTGTGATTGCTCTGTCTCCAGGACTCTGTGACAGCCTTTTTCCATTAAATGCTGTCTGCTCTTGCGTCCGTGAAGCCTTAAATATCTACTAATCAGCGACATGCATTCTTATCAGGGGCGGACTGACCATTTGGAAACTCGGGCACTGCCCGAGGGCCCGGGGTCAGTAGGGGGCCCCATGAGATGCCCCTGGTACCTTTTTCATAGGCTTTTTTGAGTTTGGGCAAGGGTACAGGGGCCCCATGATCCCCTATTGCCTGGGGGCCCCATGAGTTGTCAGTCCGCCCCTGATTCTTATCCAGCAGGGTACAGCCACTATTCTGTATAGAAGTTGCATATACTGAAGTGTGTGCTGTGTTTATATACAATCAGTCATGTCTACAGCTAGTACATAAAAACATCCTCAACTCACATAATAAAGTATTAAAAAACAATTTTTCAGCTTGATGAGGGTAATTACCTGATCTATCTTTTTAATAAGTTTCCACACACCACAAGAAAAATAAAATGCTTTAGTGGAAATGTGTGCTATTGAGCATACAGAAGGAGGGAGCTTGGATCGGTGTCATTAGTGTAATCACGTTCCTTAAAAACCAAAAGCACCATGGACCTTCTTAAAAAATAAATGTTTATTTTATCTGTTATTTTCTGTTTGCAGTGCCTTGAAAAGATATTCATACCCCCTGAAATTTTCCACGTTTGTCAAGCATAGGAATTTAATATTTCAAAAAAAAAATCCACTGCCCTTTGTTTCAGCATTACACTGAGTTGAACCCTAATTGAAGTTACAGAAATACAGTGCCTTGAAAAAGTATTCATACCCCGTAAAATTTTCCACATTTTGTCCTGTTACAACCAAAAACGTAAATGTATTTTATTGGGATTTTATGTGATAGACCAACACAAAGTGGCAAATCATTTTTTAGTGGAAGGAACATGATAAATGGTTTTCAAAATTTTTCACAAATATGTTAAAAGTGTGGTGTGCATTTGTATTCAGCCCCCCTGAGTCAATACTTTGTAGAATCGCCTTTCACTGCAATTCCAGCTGCAAGTCTTTTTGGGTATGTCTCTACCAGCTTTGCACATCTAGAAAGTGAAATGTTTGCCCATTCTTCTTTGCAAAATAGCTCAAGCTCTGTCAGATTGGATGAATAGTGTCTGTGAACAGAAATTTTCAAGTCTTGCCACAGATTCTCAATTGGATTTAGGTCTGGACTTTGACTGGGCCATTTTAATACATGAATATGATTTGATCTAAACCATTCCATTGTAGCTCTGGCTGTATGTTTAGGGTTGTTGAGACTGGGGTGGGGGTTCACCTTCTAGCAGGAAACGTCTTTTGCAGACTCTTAACAAGTTTTTTCTTCTACGAATGCCCTGTATTTGGCTCCATCCATCTTCCCATCAACTCTGACCAGCTTCCCTTTCCCTGCTGAAGAAAAGCATCCCCACAACATGATGCTGCCGCCACCATGTTTCACGGTGGGGATGATGTGTGAAGGGTGATGTGCAGTGTTCGTTTTTCGCCACACAGTGTTTTGCTTTTAGGCCAAAACGTTCAATTTTGGTCTCATCTGACCAGAGAACCTCCTTCCACATGTTTGCTGTCCCCCCCACATGGCTTCTCGCAAACTGTAAACGGGTCTATTTATGTTTTTTTTTTCAACAATGACTTTCTTCTTGCCACTCTTCTGTAAAGGCCAGATTTGTGGAGTGCACGACTAATAGTTGTCCTGTGGACAGATTCTCCCACCTGAGCTGTGGTTCTCTGCAGCTCTTCCAGAGTAACCATGGGCCTCTTGGCTGCTTCTCTGTTTACTGCTTTCCTTGCTTGGCCTGTTTAGGTGGACGGCCATGGTAGATTTGCAGTTGTGCCATACTCTTTCCATTTTTGAATGATGGATTGAACAGTGCTCCGTAAGATGTTCAAAGCTTGGGATATTTTTTTTTTTATAATATAACCCTGCTTTAAACTTCTCCACAACTTTATCCCTGACATGTCTGGTGTGTTCCTTGGCCTTCATGATGCTGTTTGTTCACTAATGTTCTCTAACAAACCTCTGACGGCTTCACAGAACAGCTGTATTTATACTGAGATGAAATGACACACATGTGGACTCTATTTACTAATTAGGTGACTTCTGAAGACAATTGGTTCCAGCAGATTTTAGTTAGGGGTATCAGAGTAAAGGGGGCTGAATACATATGCAAGCCACACTTTTCAGATATTTAGTTGTAAAAAATTTTGAAAACCATTTATCACTTTCCTTCCACCTTACAATTATGTTCCACTTTGTGTTTATCTATCACATAAAATCCCAATAAAATACATATACGTTTTTTGTTGCAACATGACAAAATGTGGAAAGTTTCAAGAGGTATGAATACTTTTTCAAGGCACTGTACCTACATCCAAAAATGCAAAAATTAGTTATTGTCAGGATATGGGGCAGAGCTTTGAAAATCCTTCTTTTATGGCATGGGCCAACTCTGTATCCAGGACTGCTGATTTATAGCATAGATACAGCCTAATATTTTAGAACCATTTATTCGAAGTTAAAGTAACATGCTGGAGGTGGAGCAGTGGCAAGGAGTGTAAAACTGCAGGCTTTAATAGTATTTGCCTCCCTTGTTGTGCCATGCTGCCAAATAGCAGGTCAGCCATGTGTAGATCGCATAGCTTTGCAAACCTTTTGACTGTACAGCAGTGTCTCTGTGTTTTAGCAATACTTTTATCATGTTAGCTAGAGCTCAATGCCTATACCCCTTGAACTGACCTTTTTGGCAGTTAATTGTACTATAATGATAGCTCCACTTTTGCAATATATGCTCTAGTCCTTGGCTTTTAAGCCTCATGTAATCTAGAAAGCCCCCATCCAGCTGATAACTTGCATCAGCTTGACAGCAATAACCTTCTCTGCTTTTTACCTCCTCCAGACACAAATACTCGACATTGGCCACCACGCAGTGAGATCACTAAAGCTAGCTGGCCATATACTAGTAGATTTTTCTTTCAGCCTGGCTGAATGAAAGAAATAGAAATATAGAAAATTACTCCATCCACACAAACACGTAATTGGATGAATCCCAGCTGCCAAGCTATTGTATTCTGACAGCTGCTGCCACCAGTTATCAGGATACCTGAACAGTGCCTGCACCTGATTGGAGCTGTTGGTTGTAAGTGCTGTTCATCCAACAATTTCAGCCCAACTCCTTCAATAAAAGTTGATTGAGTAGTCAACTTTTGTCAAGCCAGCAGGGCCACCTCTTTTACACGACTGGACCCTCCATTCTCTATGGAGTGGTGGATGTAAAAGGACTTGTGTCCGTTTACACCCACCTACCTTCAATCCGATCTGCTAAAAGCAAATGGAGGTGAATCGATTTCCCTTCCAACTAGTGGATTGAATCAGAGAGCTGTATGTTTACATCCAGTTGCTCTAGTATACTTTTTACGAAGAGCCTGTTCATACCACAATACTGTGAGTTTCACACGTGCGTTTTGCATTGAGGCAGCCCATTTATTTTAAATTGATTGTTTGCATACCTAAACACACAATAAAAATGTGCGTACTGCTCTGTTTTATATGATGCAGCACACAGAGCACTCTCATCTGTGCCATGTGGTGCATTATTGTGCATTGTATATATGTGTGTTGAAACGACTAATGAATGACAACATACCACAACACATACACTCTATACTTTTCCTTAAAACAAAATTCATAAATACAAAGATATTCAAAGTGTATCTATAGCCAACTTTTTTTTATAGCTTTGGATAAATGGAGAAAGGGTAGAACCATTGTCAGGTTCTACTGCTATCTGGGGCATCGCTAGAGATTTTCCCCTCGCTTTTTATTCTGGGGACAACTATTTACCAGAGAGGAAGTGAGAAAATCTGCAACAAGGATATAGACAATAATTTAAGGCCAACAGAGGTTCTAGCATTCCCCTCTGGGGAAAAAAAAAAATCTACTTCTGTCTGTGTTTTCTTCACTTCTAGTGAAAAGTTGTCCCTTAGACAGGAAATGAGGGATAATCTCTCTACTAGATCCTGGAGGGCATTAAAACCCGATAGGGGTTCTAATCTTTCCCCATTTCTATCCAAAGCTGAATGAACAAATTATGCTATAAATACACTTTAATGCTAGAATATAGATGGCAGCATTGCTTATGTAAAACATTTGTTTGACATGACTCATGGTGAAATTGGTCTGTAATTTCTCTGACTGTCAAACACATGAAGCACATCTGAAAATGAGAAAAAGCCTCGTATAAGCAACATTTTTGTTTTTACATTGGCACAGTTTGATTAGAAGGAACAGTACTGTTAAAATTATCTAGCAAATATGTAACCAGTCTTTGACCTGGAAGTAAATTGAAGGAGTGGTGGAATTTGTGAAAAATTGTTGACAAAGGTGTGTTTTGGCAACTGTTTTTATAAAAAGCACAAGTAAGTATTTTGCAAAAAGATTCACTGAAGAAATCCTTTTAGAATACTTGGGTCTAGGATCAGCAGAAAATGGGATTGGGACCTTTTATGGGGAACACCATGTGTGGTTTTTAATCATGTTTTTTGTAATTATTTATTTTGTGATGGTGGCCCGATGTTTGTAGATCTTTACTTTTGTTTGTAGGCCTGATGTGAGGATAGAGCAGTTCTAAAGTTCCTCTGCCATTCTGCTCAAGCGTCTCCTGCCTGGCAGTTTGGTGTGTGGTCCATTAAAATCAATAGGAAAGTGAACATTAGTGAGTACAGCATTTTGGATGTACTTTTCCTATGCTCTTTTGGCTGCACTTCTGTGGATCACAGGAGTGCAGTTCGTTTTGCACTCCTGTGACCCATTTTCAGCTGACAGCGGGCTGAAGCCCACTATCAGCTGACATCACTTAGCCAATCCAGGCTGGGGATAAATCCCGACTTCAAAATCAGGATCAACCCCAGAGTCTGGAGCAGCAATTGGCTCCTGAGCCAGCAGCTCATTCCCCCTCCACAGCCCAGTGCTCTAGTGAGCGCCGGGGGGGAGGGGGGAAGGCTGAGACGTGACTGACAATCCCATTCTCTGCTCAGACCAGAGAGGAGAACTCAGTGATCATGTGATCGCTGAGCTCTCACCCCTAGAGAGCCAGCAGGGGACGGATGCAGCATCAGACCGATGCTGCATCCATGTAGGTAAGTATGATTTAAAAAAAAAAAATTACCATACTTCTCTTTTTAAAGTTTAAAATCGGCCAAAAGAAAAATCATATTCTTTCTTATACGCTTGAATATATGTATATTAATTCCTAGTATCCTTCATGTGTATAATCCAAAATACCTAAATCATGGTACTGAAACTCGCCCCATGTGGTGGATGGCTAAGGGAAAATGGCTGCTAAAGTCGGCTTTCTTTTTTAACTTGCTGATTGGACAGTTAGGGAGCAGCAGAATATTGATGAAGCCATCCCTTGGCTCACTATGCCTTCTTTTCCTGGCACCATGTGTAGTTACAGCAAATGTGCACTACATCAGAGCCTGGTTGGCTTTTACTGCTGCTCCTCTCCCAGTCTGAGGCCTTTTCTGTTGGAGATTACAGGTGGCTCAAGACAGATTCAAGTACAAATGCTGGCTGTATAAAAAAATATATTCAAAGATTTACAGTAAATACATAACTGGTTCAAATACTGCTGTTGAATCAATAATTTTCTTTTAATACCATGGTGCAGGGTGCAGCCATATTTGTTTATTATTAGTGCAGGTATTTATATAGTGTCGACAATTTGTGCAGAACTTTGAATTTATTATATATTCACCTCAGTCCCTGCCCTCAAGGAGCGTACAGTCTAAGGTCACTACCTGCAAACACACATTTACTAGGACAAATTTAGACAGGACCCAGTTAACTTTTTGCACACATCTGGCATGTGGGATAAAATCACAGTACTGAGAGCAAGCACAGGAAGAACATGCAAACTCCATGCAGGTCATGTTGTGGTTGGCAAATTAACCAATGATCTGGTGCTGCAAGGTTGAAGTGCTAACCATCAAGCCACTGTGCCATTATACCAGTGAAAGGGCAGAACTTGCTTTTTTAGTAAAATCTTAGTCTGTAGTTTAACACTTGGATTGTTTCCACACAGATGATGCTACTGAGAAAGACCTAGCTGATTTGGTCTCGGAGATGGAGATGATGAAGATGATTGGAAAGCATAAGAATATTATCAATCTGCTGGGTGCATGCACACAAGGAGGTGAGTCCCACAGCAAGGCAATAATCAGCAAGCCTTTAATTATGCCTTGGGTAATGAAAGGACCAATACAACTTATTAGGAGAGAGTGTCAGGCAGCCCTGTAATGACCAACATTCCCACCCTGCAGCCGACACTATAATACTTTTCTCCTACTTAGCATCCAGCACTGACTTCTGTGACCTCTGGGCTTTACTTCTGTCCTGTTATTAACATGCCAATTCAATTGGTGAGCTTACTTACAGTCTGTGTTGTTTTAATTAGTGAGTTTAGCGACTGTCTATGCCATGTTAATTATTGAGTGTAGCCACTGTCTGTGGTTTAAGTAATGTAATAAGGGCCTTAAAATAACCTCCCTAGTCTTTTAGTAACTTACGCCCAACCTAAATTACTGTTAAAGGTTCACTAACCTTAGAAGTCTTTGCTTAAGTTTTTTCAGTACATGGAATATTCAGACTCGAGACCATTTTACAGACTTTCTATTGTTACAGTTCTCCCTGTTTTGTTTCTATATAATACCATGACCACAGAATTATTGCTTCCTGCCCCTAGTGATATTGCACTTACTGTATGCTGTGATATTTTGCATTGCAAGAAAACAAAGTGCCTTATTTACTAAAGTGTGACATATCTTGTGTTTTAGATATCTAATGTGATGCTACAGAAGCTCTATTTTTAAAATTCCACTATACTTGATTTGGCTTTTCCTTACCTTAGTTCACATGTTGGCAAATCAAGCCCATAGGTAGATGGACTTTAGAAGGAGAGCAAGGAGCATACATAATAATAAAATATGGCTTTACTTATGTACAAGTATCATTACAAACTATTGGCTTTTTAAAATATGCATAACATTGTTCCTATTAAAGTGGAATCCTGATAAATCGCTTAATTCGCAATTTGTGTGTATATGTGTGTATATGTGTGTGTATGTGTGTATGTATGTATGTGTATATATATATATATATATATATATATATATATACACACATACAGTGGGGATCGAAAGTTTGGGCACCCCAGCTAAAAATTTGTATTAATGTGCATAAAGAAGCCAAGGAAAGATGGAAAAATCTCCAAAAGGCATCAAATTACAGATTAGACATTCTTATATTATGTCAACAAAAGTTAGATTTTATTTCCATCATTTACACTTTCAAAATAACAGAAAATAAAAAAATGGCGTCTGCAAAAGTTTGGGCACCCTGCAGAATTTATAGCATGCACTGCCCCCTTTGCAAAGCTGAGACCTGCCAGTGTCATGGATTGTTCTCAATCATCGTCTGGGAAGACCAGGTGATGTCAATCTCAAAGGTTTTAAATGCCCAGACTCATCTGACCTTGCCCCAACAATCAGCACCATGGGTTCTTCTAAGCAGTTGTCTAGAAAACTGAAACTGAAAATAGTTGACGCTCACAAAGCTGGAGAAGGCTATAAGAAGATAGCAAAGCGTTTTCAGATGTCAATATCCTCTGTTCGGAATATAATTAAGATATGGCAGTCATCAGGAACAGTGGAAGTTAAAGCAAGATCTGGAAGACCAAGAAAAATATCAGACAGAACAGCTCTCAGGATTGTGAGAAAAACAATTCAAAACCCACGTTTGACTGCACGATCCCTCCAGAAAGATCTGGCAGACACTGGAGTTGTGGTACACTATTCCACTATAAAGAGATACTTGTACAAATATGGTCTTCATGGAAGAGTCATCAGAAGAAAACCTCTTCTACGTCCTCACCACAAAAATCATCGTTTGAACTTTGCAAATGAACATATAGACAAGCCTGATGCATTTTGGAAACAAGTTTTGTGGACCGATGAGGTTAAAATTGAACTTTTTGGCGGAATGAGCAAAGGTACATTTGGAGAAGAAGGGGCACGGAATTTAATGAAAAGAACCTCTGTCCAACTGTTAAGCATGGGGTTGGATCAATCATGCTTTGGGGTTGTGTTGCAGCCAGTGGCACAGGGAACATCTCACGAGTAGAAGGAAAAATGGATTGAATAAAATTTCAGCAAATTTTGGATGGTAACTTGATGCCATCTGTGAAAAAGCTGAAGTTAAAGAGAGGTTGGCTTCTACAAATGGATAATGATCCTAAGCACACCTCGAAATCCACGGGGGGATTACATCAAGAGGCGTAAACTGAAGGTTTTGCCATGGCCTTCACAATCTCCTGACCTCAACATAATTGAAAATCTATGGATAGACCTTAAAAGAGCCGTGCGTGACAGACAGCCCAGAAATCTCACAGAACTGGAAGACTTTTGTAAGGAAGAATGGGCAAAGATACCTCAAACAAGAATTGAAAGACTCTTGGCTGGCTACAAAAAGCGTTTACAAGCTGTGATACTTGCCAAAGGGGGGCAGTACAAGATATTAACTCTGCAGGGTGCCCAAACGTTTGCAGACGCCATTTTTTTGTTTTCTGTTATTTTGAAAGTGTAAATGATGGAAATAAAATCTAACTTTTGTTGACATATTATAAGAATGTCTAATCTGTAATTTGATGCCTTTTGGAGATTTTTCCATCTTTCCTTGGCTTCTTTATGCACATTAATACAAATTTTTAGCTGGGGTGCCCAAACTTTCGATCCCCACTGTATATATGTGTGTGTGTATGTATATATATATATATATATGTATGTGTGTGTGTGTGTGTGTATATATATATATATATATATATATATATAGTGTGTGTGTGTGTGTGTGTGTGTGTGTGTGTATGTGTATATATATATATGTGTGTGTGTATGTATGTATATATATATATATAAGCTAGATTGATAGATATCTATATATGTGTGTGTTTTTTGTAGCCATTTTAACTTGTAAATGGTTTTCAGTTCTGTAGTGTACACCCAACATTGTTCTTAACACACAATTGCCACAATGGAGAGCCTTAGAATTGAGAGATCTCATGGCCACTTCTGGTTCTGCTGCCTACCTCACAACCCTGCTCATTAGACAGAGATAATGATGCTGATACGTTGTCCATTGGAAGCAGTTAAGCGGTGTCACCCTCCCAGCAACAATGCATGTAGCTCTTTACCTTGTGTTCCACTTTAAGCCAATTCCAATCACATATAAATCTGAAAATGTCCATGATGTAGTGTGTGAATAATTTTCTAACAGCTCTGTTTGTTTGCAGGTACCTTATATGTAATTGTAGAGTATGCTGCTAAAGGGAACCTACGCGAGTACCTGAGGGCCCGGCGCCCTGTTGAGATGGAGTACTCCTATGACATTAACAGGGTGCCTGGAGAACAAATGACTTTTAAAGACTTGGTGTCATGCACTTACCAGCTGGCCAGGGGCATGGAGTACTTGGCATCCCAGAAGGTAAAATAAGAATGGAAAATTGTATTGGGCGTTCTATGCTTTACGCCCCTTACCTCTATAATAACGGACATTTAGTAGAGTATAGTTATTACTTTAATAATAAGCAAATGGAGCTATTCATTCAGTAAATTGTATACTGTTGTAACAGGCTGAAAGGATAATTCCATATTTCTGAAAAATTTAATATATCAAGGGCAACAAAATTATCAACTTTCTAAGTAGTATTTATTACCTGTTTCGCTCCCTTAATGTAATACAGGGTCTTAAAGTATGCCTTATTAGTGGATAGTGTTTTCTCTTTGCTTCGTACTGTGAAGGATTTGTAGAGTTGCATAAAAGGCTCCTGTGTTCTGGGTTACTACCAACAGCTCTGCCTGCAATACCTCTACTGCAGCGTTTCCCTTAGTTAAATAGTGTACCCCTATAAAATAGAAAGTGTTTGCTGAGTGCCCCTAGCTATGTGACTTATTATTTAGCAGACCCTGCAGAGTGTGTACTTTGGCTATTTCTCTGGAACATGTGTAAACATTTAACAAGCAATCCCATACATTTTTAAAGAACACAAAGTACTGGTATTGTGCTAAATTTGCTAAACCTTGGTCTTAACAAATGCGCCTCCAACTGGACCAATAGCAATACACAAGCATAGGAATTTAATATTTCTAAAAAATCCACTGCCCTTTGTTTCAGCATTACACTGAGTTGAAGCCCAGTTGAAGTTACAGAAATACAGTGCCTTGAAAAAGTATTCATACCCAGTCACATTTTCCACATTTTGTCATATTACAACCAAAAATGTAAATGTATTTTATTGGGATTTTATGTGATAAATCAACACAAAGTGGCATGTCATTTTGAAGTGGAAGGAACGTGATAAATGGTTTTCAAAATTTTTCACAAATATCTGAAAAGTGTGGCATGCATTTGTGTTCAGCCCCCCTGAGTCAATACTTTGTAGAACCATCTTTCGCTGCAATTACAGCTGCAAGTCTTTTTGTGGATCTCTCTACCAGCTTTGCACATCTAGAGAGTGACATTTTTACCCATTCTTTTCAAAATAGCTCAAGCTCTGTCAGATTGGATGGAGAGTATCTGTGAACAGCAATTTGCAAATCTTGCCACAGATTTTCAATTGAATTTAGGTCTGGACTTTGACTGGGCCATTCTAACACATGAATATGCTTCAATCTAAACCATTCCATTGTAGCTCTGGCTGTATCTTTAGGGTCGTTGTCCTGCTGGAAGGTGAACTTCCACCCCAGTCTCGAGTCTTTTGCAGACTCTAACAGGTTTTCTTCTATGAATGCCCTGTATTTGGCTCCATCCATCTTCCCATCAACTCTGACCAGCTTCCCTATCCCTGCTCAAGAAAAGCATCCCCACAACATGATGCTACACCACCATGCTTCACGGTGGGGATGGTGTGTTTTTGGTCTCATCTGACCAGAGCACCTTCTTCCACATGTTTGCTGTGTTCCCCACATGGCTTCCCTGCAAACTGCAAGCGGGACTTCTTGTGGTTTTCTTCTTGCCACTCTTCCATAAAGGCCAGATTTGTGGTGTTGTCCTGTGGACAGATTCTCCCACCTGAGCTGCGGATCTCTGCAGCTCCTCCAGAGTAACCATGGATCTGTTAGCTGCTTCTCTGATTAATGCTCTCCTTGCCCGGCCTGTCAGTTTAGGTAGAAGGCCATGTCTTGGTAGGTTTGCAGTTGTGCCACACTTTTTTTTTTTTTTCCATTTTTGGATGATGGATTGAACAGTGCTCTGTGAGATGTTCAAAGCCTGGGATATTTTTTTTATTATTTTAATAATCTAACCCTGATTTAAACTTCTCCACAACTTTATCCCTGACCTGTCTGTTGTGTTCCTTGGCCTTTATGATGCTGTTTGTTCATTAATGTTCTCTAACAAACTCTGAGGGCTTCACAGAACAGCTGTCCTTATACTGTGATTGAATCACACACAGGTGGACTATATTTACTAATTAGATGACCTCTGAAGGCAATTAGTTCCACTAGATTTTAGTTAGGGGTATTGGAGTGAAGGGGGCTGAATACAAATGCACGCCACACTTTTCAGATATTTTATTTGTGAAATTTTTCGAAAACCATTTATCATTTTCCTTCCACTTCACAATTATGTGTCACTTTGTGTTGGTCTATCACATAAACTCCCAATAAAATAAATTTACGTTTTTTGGTTGTAACATGACAAAATGTGGAAAATTTCAAGGGGTATGAATACTTTTTCAAGGCACTGTAGATTATGCAGTCAGACGGTGTCAATGTCCAGTTTTATCATCTTACCTTCACAATACTGTTATAGCAGTGGTGCAGGGAGTCTAATAGTTAGACACAGTGCAACCTGCAATATAACAGATGTAATCAGATATATCTCCCCTTCTCTGTAATATAATTCTGTGTGGGGACACTTGTGCTCTAGCTGCTACTAGATATTATCAGGCACAGAGCATAATCAGTAAGGATAAAGGACTAAAAAAGTGTGAGACTTTAAGGATGCATTCACTGGGGTATTGAGCACACACTGCAAATTCCAGAGGCAAGAAGCTGAAATTCCTGCTGCTGGAATCCCAGGTGTGTTCAAAGAGCTGCAGCTGCTCAGCCCATACAAAACAATGACAGGCTCTTGGCTGCTGCAGCTATCTATCACTGTTCACAGCTGTTCGTACAGCCAGTGTTCATCGGCTACTATCAACAGATGATCCTGGCTGGATGAACACAGACTGTGTCCAGCTGCAATCATCTGTCTCTAACTGCAGGTATTTGCTGGCTGCGCAAACAGCCACGGGGAGCTGCAGCAGCTGCCAGCCTGTCATTGTTTTGCATGGGCCATAGATCTTCACACACATCTGTGAATCCAGATGCAGGAAATCGCAGATTCTTACACCTGAAATTCACATTGTGTGCTAAATGCCCGTGTGAATGCACCGTAATTGGGTTTTAAGCATTAGAAATTTTTTTTTTTGCTTGTCATTTTTACTTGGTTTACTAATGCAGTTGTGGTTATGTGTTGTAGTGTATACATCGGGACCTTGCAGCCAGGAACGTGCTGGTCACAGAGAGCAATGTTATGAAAATTGCAGACTTTGGCCTGGCACGAGATGTCAACAATATTGATTATTATAAGAAAACAACAAATGTAAGTATGGAGAAGAATCTTCAAATGGCTTTTCTCAATCTGTATGTGCTTTGTGTTCTCATTTTTTTAACCCCCATGTTTTGCAAAGAAACAGGTTGTATAAACTGACTTTGGTGGTATTTCAAAAAAAGTCTATCTTTGGGGACAAAAACACTTCCTGCTTTATGGGGTCCCCATTACTCTAACAATATGGCTTAGGAGGAAAAATTTCAGAAAATGAACCCCCCCTTCTCCTCAGTATGTCCTAGATGAGTAGGCCCAAAGAAGGTAAGGAAAAGTTCCCATGATGCAATAGGAGCTTTTTCTCTTTCAAATAAACGTCACCCAAATAAACTTTTGGCGATGACCAGTTTTGGTGGTCATCATTGATGCCAGGTGGCTTTCATATCCGGGCTTTGGTCTCCATCCTCGTTTTCAGCTCTACAGCAGCAGCGGCTTCTAGCTCATCCAGCCATCTCTCTTCCTGGTCGGTGGCCAAGGCAGGGTTCCTGGTTGCCCTCCTGACTCATCTGTGAGAGCAGTCATCACTTTTTATGAAACCTGTTTTTTTTAATTTGCTACAGTATGGAAGTTGTGTTTCTCTCTCCTCTACCTCCTTTTTTTCACCTGAATAAACTGCCCACACTAAATTAATTAGTTTAGGCAAACAACCAAACTTACCAATAGGAACATGCATCTCGGTGTGATTCCCCTTTCCTACAGGTCCTTGTCACCTGGGCTCCAAATTCTGCGCCACCATTAAAAAAAAAAAAAAAAAAAAAAAGCATCATCAGTGTCTGGCTTCTTCCTCTTTCTATGCCGGCCCACTGATAATGTTGTGACACATGCACTGTACAAGATCTGGGCCAGCTTGTGTGTTGAAGGATAACAAGCCTCATGATCTGGGGCAGCTTGTTATTCACTAGATCTGGTGAGAATTCTTTGGAAGGCACTAGAGATGTAGGAACTATGGAAAAAGTAAGTTTCTTGAACAGCATTATATTTTATAATTGATTTTTTGATATGTTTAGATGGGCACTCAGTGCTGCATGCACCCCGGCTTTTTGAGTATGTGTGGTAAAGGTCCACTTTGATGAAACTACACTAAGAGTCGGCATTATGAACTGAAAAAAGTGAGCAGAGACAACATATTTTTCAGCATTTCTGGAGCTGGACTGCTGATTAGTTTCTACGTCATTGCATAGAGTGGATGTGTAATGGTCTGTTCTCCAGCACACATTTTCTTGAGTTTTAGGCAGAGTAAGGAGGAGTTACAACCACTGTCGGTTTTTTAATGCTGTCTGTGTCCTCAGAGACAACAAAAAAAAAATGAAAATCCTCTAACATTAACATTAGGAAAAATTGCAATCTTTTAACAGATTTATCAAGAACACATGTCCTCTGGAGGTTTTCCCTTACCTGCCCCTCTAGTGAAAACTATACCATTGGAAACCCCCTTACTTTCTCTTCCAGTGACCTTGGTCATTACGACAAATAGCATGAATCTTCCCAGTGGGCTCATGCTCCGTGCTAATTGGAGAGCTCTGGCTTTGATTCAAAAAGGCGTGTGGAGGACCTCTGCAGAGAGATCACTGCTTTCACCCAGAGAGCAAGGGTCCTTCTCTGCATCGTGATGGCAGGGAATAGGCCTTTCTACTCTGTGCTTGCTTTTTGAAGAAACAGATTGTGAGACTTTGCACACCCTACTTGTCATGATGCAACTGGAATGTGTTTAAACTGAACTTCAATTGGGAGTTAATTAGGCACACGTGTGCACTTTTATTTTCAGGACAGAACGTGCAAAGAACATCCTTGTAAAACTAATTGCTGTTGTCACCTCAATTAGAACTGGAGCCTTTTTTTACTATCAAACGTTGTACACCTCTGGCAGATACACCCCTTGTCTTTCGGTTAGATATGTGTTGATAGAAAGCAGATGACACCCAGTTAGAGAGTTGCAAAGCTAGTAGTTCATTCAGCTATAGCAACATGTAATTTATATTGATGAGAATATCCCAACATAATTCTCAGACATGCAGATCAACATTGGAAGCTGTTAGGAATAAGTTGTCTGTTCACAATTTCTTGTACCAAGGATGATCCTTTATTTCCTGTATACTAGTATTTCCTTTTTCACTGAATTATTCAGGCGTATCTAAAGTGAAACTACACTGTATCTGAGCACCACAAACCAAAAACAATTCATTTTTAATATTCAAAACAAACTCCCCCACTCATCCAAGTTTCCATGCTCACTTTGAAAAACACCCCCTAGCATTTCTGGCTGCTGCCATCTTGAGTAAAGGCAGATGATTCATGTAGCACTTACTTCTTGAAATTCATCTACTCTTTGCTCAGGCATACAGGCCTGAGAGTGTGCTTAGCTGACAATACCCCTCCTTCCCACCTGAAGACTCCTGGGATGTATGACATCAGTTGCCTGGGTCACAAACCAGGAAATAACTGAAGAAATGTAAAAAAAAAAAAAAAGATTAAAACAAGTAAATCTAATATATTGTCTTATCTTTTTACGAAGGATAGCAGCGTAAGGATTAAAAATAGTCAATGTGGATTGAGAGAGTGAAGTTCTGCTTTGAGGTGTTGTGGTGGCAAATAGAAAAAAACATTTGTAAATTAGCACATTACACATCATATTGATTCTAACAAAGCATGGCAGCCTACTAAAGAAGGGTTCCTGGTTTTGAAGCTGGAAGCAGTCATTTGCTTTGTTGGCCAAGGTGACCCACAGTAAAATACGTACTAGGAGACCCTGATTCCCAAGGACAGCTAGAGCTTAGGGTGTTGAATTAATGTTTGTTTGTATGTGTACCTAAGAGTTCGAATGCTACTATGTATTTATACATCCATTTTCATGCCATAAATATTTCTCTGGACGTCAAAGATCTATTGGAAAAAATGTACTTGGTTACTATGGCTAAGCAGAAACGTGTGTCCTAAAATTATTTGGCATACTGGATAAATAGAACAGACCTGTGCAGTATAAAATGTTCACTTTTACTCTCCTAACATACAATAGAGAAAACGTATACTTTTCTTTGTCTCTACTAGTAGAAAAGTTTCAGATATTTGGAGTTTCAGCTCCTTCTGTTTCTCCTGACCCCCGAGGCCCTGTTCCAGCAGTTCTTTATAGGCTGCAAGCCAGCTTCTCTCCCTGAGGTCGGCACTGATACATTTCAGCTTAATTAACAGAGTTAATGATTTTTACCTGACTTCCTCGGCTAGAGTTTTACTCAGTGCTACATGTTTGGCCTTGGAGCATAGCTTGGACATCTTCACTGTTTATGTTGGATAGTTTTGTTTTGCACTGCTTGCGTATGATATGCAAAAAGAACATCACCTATTGAATTTATAAACAGAGTGCATTCGAATTAGAAATGATTCTCTGTTACATCTAAATCTTTATTAATTTTGCTTTTTCCAGGGTCGGCTTCCTGTAAAGTGGATGGCTCCAGAAGCACTATTTGACCGGGTATACACTCATCAGAGCGATGTGTAAGTCATATTTATCATATTACTATTGTGTAGTAGGCTATATGGCAAGGCAGTGCTGGATTGGAGCTGAAAAGTAAATTTTACTTTTTAGCTGCCTACAAAGCCAGCCTATAATGTAAAGTGGCTTACATTTTTAAAGACAACCAAATGAAACCAGCACTCAAATCCTCATGCAGACCAAAGACAATTCTGAATGCCAAAAGAAGAGGTGCTGCCCTTCAAAGATCAGGGAATCTAGACACTGGTGAACAAAAGCAGACAAGGGCGCACTCTCATCGTGCATTACCGTGTCACACCGCGTATTTATTGTGTAGACAAATAGATATATACTCACAAACCAAAGGAAATAAAAAGCAAATTATGTAGTCCACAAAGACAGTCAATAATGCTGTGCCCTTGATAGGTAATGCATGATGAGAGTGCGCCCTTGTCTGCTTTTGTTCACCAGTGACTTACATTTTTATTTACAGCCAAATGTCTGACAAATTCAGCAGAGGTTTAGCATTAGGGTACTTTCACCACTGTGATTTGAAGTAGTACTGGAGCTAGTTAAATTTTTTTTTTTGCTTAACTCTATATCAAAAAACTATTCCTTCTTCTAAATGTCAGATCGCCAATACAAACCCTCATTAAAGTCAACTGAATGCAGTAGAGACCTTGTAGATGTCACATCAGTAGTCTCTGGGTAGCAACTGTGGCCCACTTTTTCTTTCATGTACAGTATATTTAGGTGAACAATAACTGGGCAGACAGGAGGGACAAACAGCACACTTTGTAGAGCCAGCACCGTGAAACAATGCAAAATTGTAGTGGTCTTGTGGTCGGGAATTGACTGAGAGTTTTATCACTGATTAAATGTAGGGTAAAAACCTGGTTCTTTCCTACTGGGACTCATACTGCTAAGTTGGTGCTACTTTATTTGGCTCAATGACCCATCCAGCAAGTATGCATGTTAGTGTATGCAGGTTCTTGGTGTCCATGCCCGGTGGAAGGCATTTGTATACATCTCATTAATGTACCTCATTAGGAGTCAGTAAATTATTCATTTGGCACTGGGTTCTGTTTAGCCTACAGAGGAGCTGACCTTTTGAAGGGTACAGTGCAGGAAAAAAATCAAAGCAGCCAGTCAGATTTTTACTTTTCCCAGTATAGTTTAGACAATATTAGCTGGCAGCTGCATAGTTATAGTAGCCAACAGATCTAGTTTTCCTTGGTCCAGTGTTAAACTGTTACCCGTCGTGACTTAAAGTGGAGTTCCACTCACCTGTTAAAAAATAAAAGTCTGCAGCTACAAAAACTGTAGCTGCTGACTTTTAAAAAACAGCCACTTGCCTGTCCTTCGGTCCCGTGGTGTGTCCCCTGCAGCCCGTTTCACCGGCCGTCCTGGATTCCAGGAGGCCAGCATCTTCAGTGCGGGCACCCGGCTGTGATAGTTTGTGGCTTCACAGCCAGGTACCCACTGCACATGGGCGAGTAGCACTGCGCTTCATGAATGGTCCTATAGTCTTCTGGGACCTGTCACGTCCCAAAAGACTACAGGAAGGGAGGACACCTTCTGTTTCCGATCACCTAGGCGATCGGACCAGAAATGAGAGCGGGTACCTGTCAAATTCGGGTACATGCTCCCCCCCGCCCCCCAAACTTGCCAATCCTTAATGGGGAGCAGTCCTTAAAGCGGAGCTTCCCCTTTTGGATGGAGCTCCGCTTTAAGAAAATGTTTATTTTGTTGCCCAGTAATCAATTTGTTTCATCCTTTCCTTTTTGGGAAAATAACACAATGAATCTTATTGCTTACTCCAGGGTTCATATATCCTTTAGACTATATTTACATATCCGTTCTTTGTGGCTGCAGTTGCCCTTATCCATGAGTCCCCAGTGGCACCTTATCATGGTATCATCCTGGATCTATATGTAGTTTTTGTATAATCACAAACATATTTGCATATTTGCATAAGTACAAAATAACCACAGTGCAAAATAACCACAGTTAATGTTTTCTATATAGGATTTTCATGAACTCCTATCCGAGTTGCTGTACTCTGATGCTTATTCAAAAATATGTGCAAAGTATTGATTTTTTTAATGATTTTATTTATTTTATTTTACTCTTGCCTCGTTCTGTAAATGTAGCCATGAGTTTTTCTAGCCTCTTAATCTGTTTTTTGCTCTTGTTTCTGGTAGCTGGTCATTCGGTGTATTAATGTGGGAGATTTTTACTCTGGGAGGCTCACCATACCCTGGCATTCCTGTTGAGGAACTTTTCAAGCTGCTGAAAGAGGGTCATCGGATGGATAAGCCAGCCAACTGCACCAATGAACTGTAAGAATCGATGTGCTCCTGTTTCCCAGATGCATGGTCTCTTATTTTCTCTCTCCTTTTTTTTTTGTTTCCAGGAATATAGAGAAATTAATTTATTAACAAGTTCCTACTTCCTTCTTTTGCTGCTTCAATCGTACTTGTCTGCTAATCTTTGGTGATTTGTAGTGTTTGTAATGTGAAACATGGGGCACCATCCATCAGTGCTGAAGCCTGCTTCCTATGCAGCTAATTTGAATATCTGTAACTTCCTCCCATCGAGCATTTAAACTTAGGACCATGTAAACCATTAATTACTAATTACTGATTAATGGTTGCCCTAGAGCAGAGTGCTTGATTGCCATTGTTTCATTGCATTTATCAGATTAATTGGTCATCATGGCCTTACTCTCCTGAAAGGCTTATGCTTTATTGGACTTTTGCTGTTTCACTTTTCCTCTAGGGTAATAATTATTTGTTTTTGCTTCTGGGTTAATGGCACGCTTATAAATAGATTCATTAATCTTTTCATTTAAATACCCACATGATTTACTGGATTATCCTTTACGTCCTTGTATTTTATTACACCTTATGGAGATGTATAGCAAATAAGAACAGAAAGTGGTTTTATGTAATTGCTGCTCTCCTGGAACATTTAGTTATTACATTAATTTGTTCATATGTCTTTGTTAAAAAAAGAATTGCATTGTTTTGCATTAGCCAATCAAAAATATTTTGTTCTTAAAAGGAAACAGACAAAATAATGGCATGTGTCATACCCTTCAAAAGGCTAAAAATATTTCTAAACCTCAGACTTTAAGAACACTGTGGTTCCTTCTACTGGCTGACATCATGATGAGATGCAGCCTGAAGAAAGGACCAAGAAGGCCTAAAAGCTCACTGCTTATATATTTCCAGAGGGATCTGTCTCGCATCTCAACTTTGATTTTATTTTATTTTTTTTAATGTTCTCATTTTCCACATGTACTGATACAAAACATCATACAAAATTAAGAGAGAGAAATATGAGCTGGCATTATTAACTTGGTTTTGAAAGGACATGTTTAAGTGCTGGTGTTGTCACACTGCCTTTTTACTTACCAATTTAAGTCAAGTTATATACACATGTTGTATACATTTGTTTTTTTGTTTTTTTTTTAAATGCCATTGCAAATTCTTACTTGTTTCTAATATGTAGATAGCATGCCTCTGCGCTTCCTCAAACTGAGTAATGATGGGATGGTCTACCTGCTATAATTCTATTAGTCCCAGAGTTGTAATCCTAAAACGCTGCATCCCAAGTATTTCTGAGGGTATGAAAAACTTGGTGCAGAAAAATGGAAATGGAGAGGTTGCATGCAGGGAATCTCAGAAATTCCACCTCAAACTCTGCAGATTTCTGGAAAAAAACAGCAAGTCAATACATTTAAAAGGGAATTAAATTTGTAGGAAATACTGCACATATAGTTTTGGAAAATCATAGCAAACTCTACACTAAAAAGTGACGTTAAATCTGAGTGGTATTAAATTACAAAAAGGCATGAATGACCGTTATACAATGTTTAGCAAAAAGATTTGTTTTTCTTTAAATCAGAACTCCAGGCAGGCAGTTAAAATACGCAGGAGAATTACATATATGGAAGCTATTTCACAAAGGTTTTGCCCATCAAGCCCTGAGATATGCACAGCTTTATCACACACACAACTTAGCTCTGTCTATTTTATTTTCTGCTGCAGTTGAGTAACACTTGCAAGTCTTGTATATGTAAAGCCCTGGATGGCGCGCTATAGAAGTACCTGTAATAAATAAATAAATTGTCCTTCCCTTAAGCTGGGTATACACCAGCTGTGTTGTGGTTTTTTTTTTTTTTTTCAACCCAGTGGGTTGAATGAAAAAAAAACTTAATTGATTCCTGCATCAGCACAACAAAATGTGGGGGTCTCCCTCGCTTCTCTATTGTTTTCTGACTCCCCAGCCTACTTTTGGTATGTGTGTATCGGTCTTTAGCCTGTGACTGGACAGTGTAAAGGAAAGCAGCTGACTGATGAGCTCATCTTTCTGTTACTCTGCTCTCCTATCAGCATGCCCCTTGCATTGCAAATCTCTGCTTTTTTGCTGTACTGGGGACTGCAAGAGGCTGATACTAAGTCACATTAAGGAATGTGACTTAGTATCAGTTGCTTGTATTAGAAAAAATACATTTAAGAGCAAATAAACAAATACAAAGTACAATAATTTGTGTCTCTTATATCTGCCTGCAGTTCTTCTTTAAATCTGGAACTTCAGGCAACTATAAATTATATGGATATGCTGAATGTGTTCATTAATAAATCATTATTTTGTTTTTAATGCAACTATTATAACTACCTGAAATTGACATAAGGTCACCTTTTGCAATCCCCTATACAGCAGCACATAGACTGGAAAAGGAAAGGGTAGGATTGTGAGCCAATCAGGCCTTCCGTATGAAAATATGTTGGAGGAGAGAGCAGAGGAATAATATCACCAATCTGCTCCTGATCTTTCAGTGTCCAGTCAGCAGGCTGGTGTAGAAACAAAATGACACTACTGTATTTTATAACTATGAGTGGTGTCATTTACCTAGCTGTGCTGTGAGGCAGAGCTGTTTAAATCTTGAAACTGGGTAGACAGATATACAAATCTTAGAAGCTAAAACAAACATCCTTTGTATTTCATTTGGTTTCAACTGGTTTCCCAGGATCCAGTTTTAAGACTTCTTCTGTTGTAAGCATGCTAGCACTAGTTTTGGTCTCTGCTTTCCGCATGTAAATGTACCTTTGCGTTATCTAACGGTTATCTAATTTTTTCTAATTCGGTCACATCATCATTGTGCATGCCATTTTGTTGTCATAAGCACACACTGTTTAGAAAGATGCATTAGATTCCTATTTCGGAGACATAGCATGCAAGCAGTCATTTAAACTTTTTTCCCATGTGGGCAGAATAGCTGTGATATCCCAAGTCTTTCTTCTCGTGTTTTTGTGTTAGCCGCCTGTGTGATATTAAATCATTCTGATTAATGACTTTTGGAATCAAAGCTGGGTGCGCTGGAGACATGTGTATCTCTGTTTCCTCTATATACCTGTATCATTTTACTGAGCCTTTCTGGGTTCATTGATTAGTGTCTGTTAATACATTACTTGCCTTGGCACATGCTGATGATATACTGGTCTTGTGTTGTATTTTATGTCCTTGCGGAGTGCTCGCTGTCTGGCTGCCAGACCTCACAATGGTGCATCTTCTTTTCTCCAGGTATATGATGATGAGAGACTGTTGGCATGCCATTCCCTCACACAGGCCGACCTTCAAACAGCTGGTGGAGGACTTGGACCGCATCCTCACACTAACCACCAACGAGGTTAGCAAAGAAATCGAAGTTTGCTAATGCATGTCAAAGACTAAAGAGTCTGTTGCAATATTAGTTTTTCATTCCTGTAAGTCTTTTATGTCTAAACTCTCTAAAATAATGCAGCTTCCGGTAAAAGAAACCTTAACCTAATAATCCAATACTGGGCACAGAATCATCATTCTATAGTTACCCTTGTGATATTGATGTCTACAATATTTCTCATATGTGCTTGGCCATCCTCTCCTATGATGGGTTTGATTATATCTGGTCCCCTGGAAAGAGTCAGCAGAACTACACAGCAGAAGTGGCAAGTCCTGTGAATCAGGCAGCCGATGTTTTTTGCCACTGCATTTAATTGCTGTGGAATAATATGGCGGCCAGAATTAAATACTATGATTTTTTTTTTTTTTCCCTGTACCCGTTTTTGTCTAGTAATTATATACTGTTACTTTGCTAGGATGGCATATGGGTCAGTTGGGGTTCATTGTACACTAAGATCCCCGTTTTTCATTGACCCATGGATTTCAAAGCTCGGTTTCACTGCAGTGATGAGGTAGTCAAAGCAGGGCACCTGTCACTTGTCTCTATGTAAACACATCCAAGCTGCTGCATGCAGTTCTACTGTTGAGCTCCTCTCTGACCCAATACTGGAGTGTGGACAGTTGCATTTCCGAAAATGGGAGTTACATTTATTCCCTTAACAGTAAGACTACATTCACACTTGAGTGGCGCTGAGCTGTATTTGGTCATTTGTGCCTGATTTTGTATGTATTTGCAGATGTTTGAGGCTTGAGAATTTTTTAAAATTACTTTTATCCAATATTATTATTATTATTATTATACAGTATTTATAAAGCGCCAATAGTTCGCTCAGCGCTGTACATTACAAAGGGGGACAGAACATGTGACAGAACAATACCAATACAATGCAAAACATGAGGGGATTGAGGGCCCTGCTCTTTGGAGCTTACAATCTAGGAGGGAGGGGATAGTGGTACAGGAGGAAATAGCTGTGGGGGATGGAGTGGTAGGAAGAGTGGAGGAGGTCGGTCAAGTTAGCAGGGGGTAGGGTAGGCTTCCCTGAAGAGATGGGTTTTCAGGGTGTGCCTAAAGGAGAGGAGAGGAGAGTAGGTGATAATCTGATGGGTTGGGGCAGGGAGTTCCAGAGGATGGGTGACACCCTGGAGAAGTCCTGGAGGCAGGCATGGGAGGAGGAGACCAGGGAACTAGAGAGAAGGAGGTCTTGTGAGGAGCGGAGTGTGCATGCTGGGCGGTACTTGGATATTAGGTCAGTGATGTAGTACGGGGCAGTATGGTGGACTGCTTTGTACGTCAATGTTAGGATTTTGAATTTGATCCGTTGTGCAATCGGAAGCCAGTGGAGGGATTGGCAGAGGGGGGTGGCGGAAACGGAGTGGTTGGAAAGGTGAATGAGTCTGGCTGCAGTATTCAGGATCGACTGAAGCGGGGATGGCCAGCGGCAAGGCAGTCCAGTGAGGAGGGAGTTGCAGTAGTCGAGTCGTGATATGATGAGGGAGTGGATGAGCTGTTTAGTGGTTTCTGGGGTTAGGAACGTGCGTATTTTGACGATGTTGCGGAGGTGGAGTCTGCACGAGTTTGTTAAAGATTGGACTTGGGGCTGGAAGGATAGATTGGAGTCCAGAATGACACCAAGTACTCTGGCCTGCAGGGCGGGTTTGATGGTGGCGTTGTTGGATGTGATGGAGAAGTCAATGGGGGGGTGGGGTCCGGGCTGGGGGGAAGACAAGAAACTTGGTTTTGGAGAGGTTCAGTTTAAGGAAATGGAGCGACATCCAATCCGATCAATAGAAAGCTAGTTACTAGGGAGAAAAACATTCATTGTTTTCACACTTTGTCCATTTTCCGGGTGCTCCTGTTGATGTTTTTGGGGTCAAAAATACTTGAAGCTCATGTACTTTTTTGAGCTACAATCTTCACACGACACTACACTCAGGTGTGAACAGACACAAATGAAAACCATGGGATTTTGCATGGTGAGCATTTTGGAGCTTCAAGCTACAAAATGCTCAGGTGTGATTGGGGCCTATGAAAATAGCTATAAGAAATGTATGTAAGTATGTAAGATTTTTTTTTTTTTTTTTAAGCAGTCCGCTCCATTGACCACTAGAAGAAAAACTCAAAAATTAGGCGCCTAATGTAATCTTTAGGAATCATTGACTATCTAGCCTGACCCCTGGGATTTGTCCAGCCCTGCATTAGTGGTTTATAAAAGGAAAACTGCAAAATAAACTTTCCTGAAAGGCAACATTTCTTGTTGTGCCAATTCTGTTTGAAGTTCTCAAATTGTATTGTGGAATGAGCTGGAACATGTAAATGGTTGTTATGGGCAACAGAACACGTGAGTGGTTATGTGCAACAAGAACAGTTCTGTGGTCATCTGCTTCCATAATATGGTCAGTTATTCTAAGTGATACCTTTCTGTGTTTCTTCCACAGGAATACCTTGACCTCAGCATCCCTCTGGAGCAGTATTCTCCAAGCTTCCCAGACTCTTCATGCTCTGCATCATCCTCTGGAGATGATTCTGTGTTCTCCCCTGACCCCATGCCACATGAACCCTGCCTCCCCAAATTCCAGCACGTAAATGGGGTAAAAACATGAGGCATCTCGCGTTCTGCAGGCCACTATAACAGACTGCTGATAATGCTGACCGATTCTGCAGAACGCCAAGGAACAAGGACCTCTCTGTAGAGGAGGAGGTATAAGGCAGGAGAGGCTACAGGGCGGACTCCACAGTATATTCTCCTGCCACTTCAATGATGGGAATATGACATTACAGGAGAACCACATGGACCACCAACCCCTGACCAAACACTTGCAAAGACAGCAGGAAGATTCTGCTTGGTCAGCGATAGAGGGGAAAAGTCCATCACTTTGGTTGTGGCAACACCAGATACACCGCTACCGCCTCACCAAGGCTGTTTTCAATGGACTCAAGGCTAAAACACTTATATTTTGCCTTTCTTGTTAATTTTGTAATATTTTGAGAAAATATATTCCAGCACTCAAATCCCTTCCATTCTTCACCAGAGCACATATACAGCATTATCGCTGTTGGATATAAATGTAAATATATTCAGAATATGTATAAATATATATTATATATTTACAATGAATTATTTTTTGTATTGATTAAATAACTAATAAAAAAAAAACAAACAAACAAGCTCTTCTATGCTGGATAGGAGGACCTTTTATGTTACTATGTGCTCTCCTATCTAGCAGAGAACAGGTATATATAGTTGATCTTTGGGATTAAAAAATCCTGTGTTTTTTTTATTACTGAAACAAAGTTTCAGACTTTGGGGCCACCCAAATAACCCATTATGAGAATGTCTTTACTAAGTATTTGTAAACATTCCAAAATGAATTTATTAACCCTTTAAGTACAGAGAAATCCATAGAACATTCCAGAGGTCTCTGGGGTCAGATTTTGTACCAGTGGTTTATATGACATTGAAAAAAAAAAACAGCTCTGTAGAATGAGACCTATAGAGTAAAGCTTATGATGATTGTATTGTAAAAAGATTTATATGATATTTATGCTGAAAACAGAAAGGAAAGATTCTTTCTTTAAAAAAAAGTCTATTTGTTTCTTTTCACTTCAGATAAAATGTAAGATTGTGAATGGGGGGGGGGGGGGGAGGGGAAGAAAGTGAGAATATCATGAATCTGTAAATAAAATGGCTAACTTAATGCTCTAGTCTCCTCCAGGGTGTTTACCGCTGGTTGTGTGTGGCGATAGCAGGCAAAGTGGCCAGATCACTGTGATTGTTAATGCGTTAGGGAGATATTCTGAAATGTTACAAATCATGTTAGACTGAAGAACTGAAATGGTTGCAACCGTGTGTAGCATGCCAGTTTGGTATATTGTAGCAGGATTTAAAGCTGAACTCCAGGCAAAGGGCCTAAGCCAAGATAAAATACATATATAAGAGCTGTTTTACCTGCCATAGGATTTGTAGTTCTGTCCAAGCAGTCCTGAGATTTACACAGCTCACCACACAACACATCCCTGTCCTGCAGGGCAGGAGACCTGTTTTTTTTTTTTTTTTTTCTCTGCTACAGCTAAACACATAGGTCTTGTCCTTCCCCAGCCCTTGACTGGACAGTGAAAGGTGAAGAAGTAAATTTATGAGCTCATCTCTCTGTCACTGTGCTGTTTCCTCCTATCATCATGTACCTTGTTAGCATATGATCACCACAACATAACTGGTTGCTTGTCCTGTCCCTCCCTCTCCCAGTCTGCTCCCTGCTGTACAGTGAACTGCAAGAGGCTGATGTCAGGTACTTACACTGCTTTTACAAAAATACATTTAAGGACACATTAATAAAGAGCTGCATTAATTTATTACTTTTAAATCTGCCTGAAGTTCATCTTTAAACAAAGAGCATACACTTTCACCCCTTAATTTACCTCTGATACATTCTTATTGCAAAACAAAAGGTGTACAAATAGATGTTTAAAATGATCAAACTGCAGTAAAACAGTTTTTTTTTTTACAGGCGTTCTTAAGGAAGAATTTTATTCTAATAAAAAGTCATCCTTACAAAAATGTTTCTTTTATTTTGCTTTTTTAATCTGGGGGAAAGGAATATTATAAAAATGAGCTGCTGTCTTGAGGCCCTGTTCACATGAGCATTGTTTAAACATTTGCTAAATGCTAATATAGAAAGAATCGGATTTAGCACACATTTGCCCTTAAAGCATCTTTAGCTCTTGTTCAGGTGTGCTTAATACAGATTTCAGCGAGTTCTGGATGTAACTTTGAACAAGCTTTTGGCAAGCTCTAAAATGAGACAGAGAATGCAGTAGTCACAGCCCAGCCTACAATTCATACATTTTTATATTGTCAAGCTTAGACAGATTGACAGCAGCTAACGAGCCAGTTTTAGGCCAAAAACTCACAGGCTGCATCCCACATGTGAGCCACGTGACTAAAAATTGGCATCTACTGATCGTGGATTGCCATGACTAATCAGGTTCAGGGCCAGATCTGTAATTTCTGCCCACTTTGGCCAAACCTTCATCCCCTGGTCATCTGGTTGGCCCTCATATCACACAAAAAAGATCTAGTATAATAGAAAGAGACACTTTGCCCACTCTTAAGTAATCAGACCTAAATATAACGAAACACAAACACCAGGGCAAACTGTTACTTTACTCTGTTTGCAGTTCGTATCTAAGTGTAGGAGTCTAGAGTGGATGAACTGTAGGAGTCTATTGCAACATTTTGCCCACAGAAATGCACTAAAAGTGCAGGTGCAAAACCCGTTTAAACCCAACTGGATTGCATTGGAAAGCAGGGAGGTGGTTCAGAAACTCATTGTACAAGCAGAACCATGTTGGTGGGTGACTGTGCTACCTCCTATAGTCCTACCATCTTGGGGCATGGCATAAGTTGGCCATAGATGTTTTGAATTTTGGCTAGAGAAGGGACCGGCCGAGATGGAACAATCATGGTCTGCCCATAGATTGTTCCAAATTCAAGTTGTTGTATGACTGGTACAACCAGTCTGTTTTTGTTCATGTGATTATTGCCATCGACTTTAGCTGCTAACCATAATCACTGTGTTCTCCCCGCAGGGACATCTCCCCCCTGTGCCTCCTGCCATAGAGAGAACACAATAGCTTCATGAGAGTGATTCTCCCATCAACACTGACTGTGTTGATGGGGGAATTGAACGATCCTTTACTGCAACCTGTGGTGCAGGAAAGAAAATTGCATTGTCTATGGCCTGCTTTATATTGGTTATGCAGAAACCCAGCCCCGATCGAACCTAATTTATTTATCAAGTGAATACTAGCTGATATCCACAACCATCTGTGATCAGTGGAGCACAGTTGTGACCACTTATCTATTGATCACTATAGAAAACATTGAGCACAGGTATTCTGTAGTCAGGCCCCGTTACCTTTAGGTTTTCCAGCTAACACATCTGAAAATGAGTAGTTTAGTCCCCAAACCTGCACTGTTAGCCGATATACACTATATTGGCAAAAGTATTGGGACACCCCTCCAAATCATTGGGTTCAAGTGTTCCAATCACCTCCATGGCCACAGGGGTACAAAATTAATCACCTAGGCATGCAGACTGCTTCTGCAAACACTTGTGAAAGAATGGGCCGCTCTCAGGAGCTCCATGAATTCAAGCGTGGTACTGTGATAGGTTGCCACCTGTGCAATAAGTCCATCCATGAAATTTCCTTGCTACGAAATATTCCACGGTCAACTGTAAGTGGTATTATAACAAAGTAAAAGCAACTGGGAACAACAGCAACTCAGCCACGAAGTGGGAAGCCAGGTAAAATGCAGAGCGATTTCGGCGCATGCTGAAGTGCACAGAAGTCACCAGCTGTCTGCAGTCAATAGCTAAAGACATCCAAACTTCATGTGGCCTTCAGATTAGCACAACAACCGTGCATAGAGTGCTTCATGGAACGGGTTCCCATGGCCGAGCAGTTGCATCCAAGCCTTACATCACCAAGTGCAATGCAAAGCGTTGCAAGCAGTGGCGTAAAGCACGCCGCCACTTGACTCTAGAGCAGTGGAGACATGTTCTCTGAAGTAAGGAATCGCTCTTCTCTGCCTGGAAATCTGATGGACTTGTCTGGGTTTGGCGGTTGCCAGGAGATTGATACTTGCCTGACTGCATTGTGCCAAGTGTAAAGTTTGGTGGAGGGGGGATTATGGTGTGGGTTTGTTTTTCTCAGGGCTTGGGCTTGGCCCCTTAGTTCCAGTGAAGGGAACTCTTAAGTCGTTAGCATACCAAGACATTTTGGACAATTTCATGCTCCCAACTTTGTGGGAACAGTTTGGGGATGGCCCCTTCCTGTTCCAACATGACTGTGCACCAGTGCACAAAGCAAGATCCATACAAACATGGTTGAGCGAGTTTGGGATAGAGGAACATTACTGGCTTGCATAGAGTCCTGACCTCAATGCAATAGAACACCGTTGCAAGAATTAGAACGGAGACTGCGAGCTAGGCCTTCTTGTCCGACATTAGTACCTGACCTCACAAATTTGAAAGAATGGTAAAACATTCCCATGACACACTCCTAAACTTTGTGGACAGCCTTCCCAGAAGAGTTAAAACTGTTATAGCAGCATAGGGTGGGCCAACTCAATATTGAACCCTATGGACTAAGACTGGGATGCCATTAAAGTTAATCTGCATGTAAAGGCAGGCGTCCCAAACCTTTTGGCAATATAGTGTGTATCTTAGGAATTTAAAAAGTACCCAGTTCCACATTTCAGTTATGTCCCCAAGTCTGCCATGTTTGTTTTTTTTTTTTTCCTATGGCATTACCTTCAGTAAAGGAAAAACCTTACTACCACACAGTCCTGTACAGTTTACTGCCACGCACACACACACACACACCAAAATACACAAATTGTATTATTTGTATGATATCTAGATTTCCATTTTTTCCCTGTAGAACACTTGCATAAGAAATAAAAGCTCTGGCAAAACTTTTAGCATGCTCAAAGAAAAGATTTGCCATTAAGTTTTGGGTGAATCCCACTGCTTCTTTGTGTTTAGGACAATATGCCAGCCCTTATACACAATATAGCTTGATCAACATTTTACATCCT